TTTTTTTTTCACCCAAATCGTCACTTAGCATGGTTTTGCACTCACCCCTTCAATTATTATTAATATTAATGTTAATATTATTATTATTAAGGCTTCGTAGCAGCACGAAGTAAGATATCGCTTTGATGAACCACATGTTGTTTTTGAAGTTTATTTTTTGATGAAGACAATACATGTTTCAGATGAGACGTCATCCATCGTCAGTTATACAGTGAGAAATAAAATGAAAATATGCAATTAATTGTATAACAAAGTGAGGTATCAACAAGAATAATTGAAGATGAAGGCGTGAACCAAAAAACGGGTAAAACTATTTAAGTTAAGAAAGGAGACTAATTAACATGAACGGGATAAATTAAGATGTTTGACCTGGGAAACATCTTATCTTGAAATTCCCAGGTCAAACATCTTAATTTATCCCTTTTATATTAATTAGTCTCCTTTCTTAGCTAAATAGTTTTACCCTTTTTTAAGTTTGTGCCTTCATCCTTAATTATTCTTGTTAATATCTCCCCATTTATTGCATATTTTCATTTTATTTCTTACTGTACAACTGACGATGGATGATGTGTCATCTGAAACATGTACTATTATTATTATTAGCATCATTAGTATTACTTAACTATTTTTACTATCACTATCACTATCGCTATCGCTATCACTATCACTATCACTATCGTTATCACTATTACTATTACTATTATTCCTCTCACAGTTTGTGGTGTTATGCATTTTTCTAGTGTTCGGAGATTGGTTACAACAGATTAGGTTTTGTAACTTGTAAATAGACTAATTTTTAAATTATTCTTAGGTTTTGTAATTTTAGGTAGGTGTTCTCTATTAGTAAAGGGTTATCCCTCGGCTAAAAAAATTCAACATGTCATCATCATATTTTTATTATTATTTTTATTATTATTATTATTATTATTATTATTATTATTATTAATATTATTATAGTATTTTTACTATTAGTAGTATTCATGCTGGGGCAGGTAAGATTCCATAAATAGTAGAATGTGTATTGTTAAGTTTGAGAGTAATTTTCCTTTGTTTTTTTAATTACCTCTTGCGTACAATTGATAACACAAACCGCAAACACTTTTGCTACGTTTCTGTGACATTTAAAACAAGTCATTCCAATTCTCAGGTTTTCTTATTCACTTCTGTAAACTACATTTTGCTTCCCTGTTTAACGATTTTAATACAATTGTTATTGTAAATAGTTTTTTAATTAATAATATTATTATTGTTATTATTATTGAGACAAGAAATATAAAAGAAAGATCTTGAATACACAGTATTTCATTTGAAATGCTGTGTATTCAAGATCTTAAACCAACACTGAATGTGCAGTCTGACTCTTTTTGTGCTAAAGTATTCATGTAATTAGCTTGGCACTCTTTTATGCAAATTCGCTTCAACTTAGCCTCTTCACAAACCGCTTTTTATCTTTACCTAGGGTATCTAAAAGATAGTAATGCTGCGGCACATTCTGTTGATAGTGACATATTTAACGCCGTGATTC